AATATATAGTAATATATTATAATATCTTTATTTACTAGCTATATTACCTCTTTATTATCTACTAATAAATAATAAATTTAACTTTAGTTAGTATAAAAATAACCTTCTTCTAGGTAGCTAGTATACTAGTATAGTTATTTTTAGTAATAGGATTTATAATATTATTAGGGTTAAGATAACTATATAAGGGCACCTCAACCTCTTCTAGCTTAACTATATTATTATCTAATTTAACCTAATAGGTGTTAATATAGCCTTAAATATTAGCGTTAATATAGAATATATAGAGTTATTATTAAACCTTAGGCTAGATCTTATATAGTGCCTTTTTAAGGGTAGTTTTATTATCTATAATTATAACCTCTAGCTAAGAGATATTAAAGGATTATTAGAATTTATTAAGCTAGCTAAGAAGTTACTTATAGCCCTTAAAAGTCTTTATATTAATAAGGCTTTAGCTAAGATTAATAATAAAATATTAGTTAATTATTCTAATAACCTAAAAGAGATATATTTTAAAGTAGTTTATTTTATATATATTATTAAGCTTAATTATATATAAGAATTACTTTTATATCTTCTTATACTAGGGATAGGTCTAGAATATAATAATAGGCTTATTTCTATTATATTTAATATAATACTAAAGGCCTTATTATTAAAGAATTTAAATTTATTATTATATAAAAGTTATATTATTAAGTAACTACTTTCTAACCTATTAATAGTTATTATAAATATCTTTATTTATCTAAAGAAATACTAGCTCTAGGTAGGTAATTTATAAGATATTACTAAGTTTCTAGGTAGGTAGAGCCTTTAGCTTTAAAAGCTTTACTTTAAGGACTTATTATTCTTTAGTTTAATAGTAATAAGTATAATAAGTAGTAAGATTAAGAGATATAAGGTAGTTATAAGAGCTAACTTTAACCTTATATATCTACTAGCTAGCTAGTCCTTTATTTATTTTAATATTAATTTAAAAGGAGTAGTTAGTCTTTATAGATTTTATTTTTTAAAGGCTATTACTTTAAGAGGCTTAGTAATAGCCTTTATTATAGATAATTTAGTAGTAATTAATAATATATTTACTATTAGGCTAGGTAGCTCCTATTATCTTACCTCTTATAATTATAGTACTATTTAAATAATAGAAAAGCTATAATATAGAAAAGAGTATATTAAGAGAAGGATAGAGTAATAGCGCTAGTAGTAGAGGAATTTTAGGGCTAATAGATAAGTCTATTATTACTAGTAGTAATATAATAAAGGAGGGAAAAAGGAGGAATTTATAATAGTTACTTACTACTAGTGTTAAAGTTAATATAAATAGCTAAATTAGGTAAGTCTAAAAAGGTACTTTAGTTATAGTAGGCGTATATATAAAAATCAAGGTACTATACTAGTATAGCTTAGGTAGGGCGTTATATACACCTATTTACCTAGTAATATAGTACTATCTACCTAGTATTACTCTAAAATATATTCTTTAACTAGATTTATAAAAACCTCCCTTTTAATATATTAGTATAAAAGATATAATAAATTAATTACTTACTAAATATAATAATAAATATATTAAAGTATATTAAGTAAAAAACCTTATATAATAATAATTAAAGCTTATTAATATAGTTAATAAGTAAGTTATATAGATAAGTAAGTTACGTACCTACCCTAACCTTATAATATTTAATAATTAATAATTTAACTATAATATAAAAAAAGAATCTAAAACTAATTAAAATCCTTTTCTTTACTAGTTTTTATATTTATAATATAAATATATATATTATATTAGTTAATTATATA